GGTCCCACCTATGGTGAACCCCATTATCTATGGGGTAAGGACCAAAAAGATACGAGACAGGTTCCTTAAATTTTTCAGTTTTCCAAAGCCTCTGAACTAAAAACCCTTTTTGTTGGTGTGTAATATCTGAACAAACATTATATTAACCATGTTAGAATGTGTGGTTTCTTCATCAAGATCACCTTTTAATGGTCAGAGGGCTAGTGTTATATTGTGGGAAGCAACTCATCTAAAGATAGATTCTATGTTTTAGCAATCATGACATTGAGGCAGTTATAATACCAGGTAGGACTTTTTCTCACAATATTAAAATATTGTTCACTAAAAAAATAAAACAGCCCTACCAGAGTAGCTCAGTTGGTAGAGAGTGCCCTGTACACTGAAAGGTTGCCAGTTCAATTCCTGGTCAGGGCACATGCCTGGAGTGTGGGTTGAATCCATGGTTGGAGCATGTGTGGAAAGCAACCAAGTGATGTTTCTCTCTCACATTGATCTATCTTTCCTCCTTCTTTCTCTCGCTCTCTCTCTTTCCCTCTCTCTCTCATCTCTCTCTCTAAGCATGTCCTCAGGTGAGGAAATAAATAAATAAATAAATAAATAAATAAATAAATAAATAATAAATAAATAAATAAATTTGGAGAATCATCTGATGCTAAAAACATGAGGTATTTAAAATCAACAGGATATACAATCACATATTTTTGGTTTACCATTTCAGACTTGCTACCAGATTTAGAAATTTCCCTTTTTCCATCCTAGTCCTCCCTTCTTGACTAAATGACCTTCTTTTACAAGTGCATACTTATGATACAGTGGCCCACAGTCCATGATTTGAGAAATACAATTGTAGGAAGCTAACAATGGACACATTGATGTCCTTCCACTCAGGTATTACAACATAATTAAAAATTTCTTCCAGGACTTATAGTTTTCACTTAGAATATAAAACATTGCTAAGATTGTCACTCAAAATCTTATGACAATAAACCTCACAATTTTCTGAACCTCCAGATAGTTGAAATCACAGAGCAAGTAATTAACTCACATCTAAGGAAAGATAGATGCTAGATGGCATACAAGCCAGTGAAAATAATTTGTCTAAAAAAGATTTTTAATTAATAAAGTTAATTTTGGGTGACATTGGTAAATAAAGTTTTAAGTGTACAATTCTATGGTACATCACCTGAGTATTGTATGTGTACCCATCACCCAAAGTAAGATTATTTCTAATTATATATTTGAATCCCTTTACCCTTTACTACCCCTCACCCCCTTCCCTCTTGGTAAATACAACACTGTTATCTCTGTTTATGAGTTTTTGTTTGTTTTATTATTTGTTCATTTGTTGCTTTCTGTTTTCCTTCCCATATATGATTGAAATCATACAGTTCTTGACTTTTTCTGTCAGATTTATTTAGCTTAGCATGATATTCTCAAGATCCATCCATGTTGTCACAAATGGCAGTATTTCATCTTTTCTTATGGCTGAGTAGTACTCCATTGTATATACATATGTACCACATTTTCTTTATCCAACCATCTATCCAAGGACACTTTTGTTATCCCTATGTCTTGGCCAAAGTGAATAATGTTGCAATAAACATAGGGGTGCATATATCTTTGCAAATAAATGGTTTCAAAATTTTCCAGTGAACCAGAAGAGGGGTTGCTGGGTCATATGGTAACTCTATTCTTAATTTCCTGAGGAATGGCCATACTGTTTTCTATAGCAGTTGTACCAGTTTACATTCCTACCAGCAGCGAATGAAGGTTCCTCTTTCTCCAACCACTTCTCCAACAGTTGTTATTGCCAGGGACAGATTAGAAACTAGAGTCCTCAGAGACCTTGTGTCCTTTACAAAACTGACTCTAGGGAATTTTCTATTGAGAGCTCCTCCCAGGCAAAGAACAGTGCCCTCATAAAGACTGAGCAGATTGAGACAAGACAGAAACAGGATTCCATCTTGGTGCTCAATCTGGTGAGTCTTCCTCATGTCCCAGCTCACAGTGCAGCCTTACTCCACAGTGATTGATGAAGGAAAAGAAGAGGTGTAGGAGAGGAAAAAGAGACATGGGATTAGTTTGGAGAAAAGAAGACTAAGAATGCAGCTTAGAGAATGAATAGGGTCTCATTCGGGATTGGCCATATGATTTGAGTACTGCTGATAATGTCTGTTGATTCATTTATCTACTGGTTACACAGGTGTGATTAGTTTGTAAAAAATTAATTGAGCTGCACTCTTATGTGTGCACTCTACTTATGGACCTGAAAATTTAATAAAATATTCACAAAATATAAATCCCTTAATGACAAATAGAATATATGTCATTTATGTTTGTGTCTTCATCATCACTTAATTGCATCAAGTAAGAAATTAACATTAAAATGATGAATGGCTATAAAGACTCCCTAGGACAGTAAGAGATTAACAATAATAATTAATAATAAAATAGAACCATTAAAGCACTATACTGTAATAAAAGTTATGTGAATGTGTCTTTCTCTCTTAAAATATCTTACTGTACTGTACTCACACTTCTTGATGTGAGATGGTACAATGCCTAAGTGATGAAATGAATGATGTAGGCATTGTGACATAGCATTAGATTACTATTGACCTGATGATATGTCAGAAGGAGGATCTTCAAGCCATTATGATGTCATGTCTTCCACCCATAAATTCAATGTTTTTCCATCTTAAATAAGCACTTACCACACTGTGGCTGTAACTTTTGCAGTTTGAGGTGTGACGACAGAACTAGCACAATTTTTTTTTCTTCACAATTTCACAGATAGAAGACTGGTTCTTACTACAAATCTTAGTGACTTCAGCAGATGACTTTTTAAATTTTCACCCAAGGATATGTTTTTATTGATTTTTTTTAAAGAGAGAGGGAGAGAAAAACATCAATGTGAGAGAAACATTGATAATTTGTCTCTTGTACACACCCCAACCAGGGATTGAACCCACAACCTAGGTGTGCACTGACCTAGAGCTAAATCTGAAACCTTTTGCTGTATGAAACGATGCTCCAACCACCTGAGCCACACAGCCGGGGCTCAGCATATGCTTTTTTTCCTTTCCTTATTAAGCCAAGAACTTTCACCTTTTCACATAATGCAAACATTTTATGGCTTCTCTTTGGCATATCCAAATTGCCAGCATCAACACTCCTGTGCTTTGAGGGCCATTATAAAGTAAAATAAGAGTCACTTGAATACAAGCACTGTGATACCCTGGCAGTTGATCTGATCACCAAGACAGCTACTATGTGACTGGGGGCAGGTAGTGCCTACAGAGCTGGACAGCGCAAGATTTCATCATGCTACTCAGAACGGCATGCAATTTAAAACTGATGAATTGTTTATTTCTGGAATTTTCCATTTAATATGTTCAGACCATGTTTGACTGTGGGTAACTGAAAACATGGAATGTGAAACCATGGATAAGGGGGGACTACTGCACTGGAGAAAGAAAAACTTTGTTGCTATTTTTGCTGATTTCCACCCATGGGATTCACAGAAAAACTTACCTCCATGAGTGAAACTTACTTTCACTCCTCCTGCTATCTTTCCATTGCTACATTTTTCAAAGTAAAGAACAAAATTATGTTAGGAGGTAATATAGCAATAATTTTAAGGGAAAAATATTCATTATTTTATCAAGATCAATAAACTGTTAGTTCAAATCACTGGAAGCGATTGTAGCCTTATCATTTCAGTGATGTATTGAGAGAAATAATAAAGAATATTATAGTTACAAAAAAAAAAAATTGGCCACAATTCCATTGCAATCTCATAACCTTTGGAAATAGCCACTATTCAATTGTAACTTCTAGAGTGTCTCCACATTTACCACCCTTCTCAACTGCCCCTTTCATTGCCTCTTTATCACAGACACCATTCTTTTGGTTATTTCATCTTTTATTTCACTGTCTAGATAATACTCTGACTTTCTTGCAGAAAATGAGGTCATAATTAGTATTGTGGCTGTGGAATTACAAATGATCAGAAGCCTTTCTACAATGAAACAATTACTCATGTGAAATATTCCCCTATCAGATGTTATAAACAAGTTACATAAAGACATAGGACTTTAGGGAACTTGGAAAATGACTGAATTATCATTCACCTTATTTTATATTAATTCTAATATTTTTCTCTCTAGTTTTTATTGACATTTTGACATGTGTTTTACACCCCTAAAGTCATAATTGCCTTGGTTATAAATGAGAAATACTAGCATAATTTATTCAGATGGATGTTGTGAGATTTTTAAAAGATTTTGAATTGGTATATGTCTGGAGTATTTGTGTGTGTGTGTGTGTGTGTGTGTGTGTGTGTGATACTTATTTCTCATAGGTTAAACATATATTAGCTTTTCCTTTATTTCCATTCATTACCTTCCTCCTTCATTTAATTTCCCAGACCTTCCATTAAAAGCACTTGAAACTTCTGGCAAGCCTCTTAAACTCTTTGATCCTTAGATCACTTATATGTAAAATATGGAAATGTAATGTTCTCTCTGAAAAAAAATTGCAGACAATTTTTGCACAGTCTGACAAACAGCCTTGCAAATAGTAGGCAGCACCTAACAAATTGGTAATCAATGTTGCTGTTTTCACTAATATTGTCCACATTGTTTAGTAATAACAATGGCTCAATACTAACAGATGAAACAATTTTAATGCTTTAAAGTAATTTTTTATATTTTGGCATAAATTTTGATGACTTCAGCTGTTTGCTGATAATTATTATCCTTGTGTGTTGTCATTCAATTAACTGGAACTAATTGTCATCACTGTATTTAGAAGCTAGCAGAATCCTAAATAGGTCAAACTTGAAGGAGGAATTCTGTTGGTGATAATGGCAATAATGAAAGAAGTTAGTTTAAGTGTTCTTATGTTATCTTTAGGTCTTCAAAGCTACAGAGCACTATCTGATCACCTGTATATTGGATGAACATAAATTTCTGAAGACTTATGCATTACCTAGCAGGATGTCCCTTCCCAATGACACCCAGTTTCACCTCTTCTCCTTCCTGTTGCTGGGGGTCCCAGGACTCGAAACACTCCACATTTGGATTGGCTTTCCCTTTTGTGTTGTGTACATGATTGCACTCATAGGGAACTTCACTATTTTGTTTGTGATCCAGGCTGAGAGCAGCCTCCACCAGCCTATGTTCTACTTCCTGGCCATGTTGGCTACCATTGACTTGGGTCTCTCCACAGCTACTATCCCTAAGATGCTTGGAATTTTCTGGTTCAATCTCAGAGAGATGATCTTTGAAGCCTGCCTCACCCAGATGTTTTTCATTCACAACTTCACATTGATGGAATCAACAGTTCTCTTGGCAATGGCTTATGATCGTTATGTGGCCATCTGCAACCCACTCCGATACAGCACCATCCTCACCAACAAGGTTGTTTCCAGGATTGGTCTTGGTGTGCTAGTGAGGGCATTTATTGTTGTNTCTTGATTGGTCTTGGTGTGCTAGTGAGGGCATTTATTTTTGCGATTCCTTTTGTATTTCTCATCTTGCGACTGCCCTTCTGTGGGAATCATGTCATTCCTCATACCTACTGTGAGCACATGGGTCTTGCTCGTCTGTCTTGTGCCAGCATCAAGATCAATATCATCTATGGCTTATGTGCAATTTGTAATCTAGTGTTTGACATTATAGCCATTGCCCTTTCCTATGTTCAGATACTCTGCACTGTTTTCCATCTTCCTTCCCGTGAAGCCCGCCTCAAGTCTCTCAGCACATGTGGTTCTCATGTTTGTGTAATCCTTGCCTTCTATACGCCAGCCCTCTTTTCCTTCATGACACATCGCTTTGGCCGAAATGTCCCTCGTTATATCCACATACTCCTGGCCAATCTTTATGTCGTAGTGCCACCAATGCTCAACCCTGTCATATATGGAGTCAGAACCAAGCAGATCTATGACCGTGTGAAGAAAATATTATTACAGAAATAAGGAATAGAAACATAATGAAACCTATACAAGTGATTTTTCAATGTGAAATCTTATCAAACTTAAGTCACAAGAGTACTTTCTCATAAAATTATGTTAAAATATGTATTTAAATTGGCTTTCTTCTGTATTTTATTTCCATCTTCTTTTCAGACCACTTCCCAATATCCATTGCTGCATTCTCTTTGTCTTTTATAATTTTGTTTAGCAGGTTATATTAATTTTATCTATTCTTTTCAATATCTGGTCAATATTTTTATATTGATAACTTTAATGCACCTATTGTTGATAGATTAATTGATGTTTCCTGGAGCCCCTTTCTTCTCCCAATATAATTATAATCACTTTCTTAGTTTCTGTTTTTATAAGTGCAGTATGCTGGGGATAAAATGACACTCAGACACTTTGCTTAACCTTGTAGAATTTACAGAATTTAAAATTTGTCAGCAAACTCAACTTATAAACATCCATCCTTTTAATATCTTGGTAATTAAATTTATCTTTGTTTTCAAGTATCAAAAAAATTATATTTTAAGCAACCTGACAATTTTAGTATTTTAAATATATTACTAATTTCAAGCACATTTGACAATTATTTGTGCTCTCTATCTTCCTGTCTCTCTCTCCTCCCCCCGCCCCCCCCGAGCATGCCCACTCAAATCTCTTCTTTTTTTTTTTAATATATCTTTATTGATTTCAGAGAGAGAAAGGGAGAAAAAGAGAGAAAGATAGAAACATCAATGATGAGAGAGTCATCGATTGGCTGCCTCCTGCATGCCCCCAACTAGGAATCGAGCCCACAACCTGGGCATGTGCCCTGACTGGGTATTGAATCAAGATCTCTTGGATCCTAGGTCAATGCTCAACCACTGAGCATTTTGAATGTACTTTCCTAAGCTCCAAGGCTCTTCTTTTGCCTCTGTAACTTGTTTTGTTTCCTTAGCCAGTTTCTTCTACTGCTCACTTTTTTTTTATTTTTACTACCTTTGTACCATTCTAAATAAACTTTTTCTTGTAATTTGAAAAAAAAATTATTGTTATTTTTATATTAAATTTACTATCTTACATTTACTACTTTTACTTCAACCTGAGCTATAGATCATTCACAACAAATATTTTCTTCTTTTGAATTATTTTTATTATTACTGTCACATTTGCTTTGATTTTATATATAATTTTACAACTATTTTAGCCATTGCTCTACAAATGCCATTAAACATATTTATCTACTTCATGACTTATGTATTATTGTTTGTTACTTCTTATAAATTTTAAAACTCACACACATAGGGTTACTGTTTTATATAATCACTATTCATTTAAATATGCCACGATATTTACTACTTTGATTGTGATGCATTCCTCCTCACATCTTCAAATTTCCATCTGTAATGATTTCACTTGTTTCTGAAAAATAAACAAATATTTCATTGGTACAATTTTGCTGGTTGTGCATTTCTGGTTTTTTGTTTGTTTGCTTGCCTAAAATAACTTTATTTATTTTAAGGTTATTTAGAAGATATAGAATTTCAAATTTACTGGGAGTTTTCCAGCATTATGGAAGTGTAATTAACAAATAAAAATTGCCTATATTTAATTTATACAATGTGATATTTTAAAAGTGTACACATGATTTTATATATACAAGATGAAGCAAAAGTAGGTTTACAGTTGTTCATATGGAAAATAACACAGTAATTAATAAATAATAATACAAGAATAAATGCTGTGTTTCGCATACTTGCAATTATAAACCTCCTTTTGTCCCATCATATATGTAATGAAACGATTATCACAATCAAGTTAATGAACATATCCATAACCTCGTATAGTTACGTGTTATTTTTGTGATGAGAACACTTAACATTACTCTCTAGCAAATTTCAAGTGTATAATGCAGCATTATTAACTATAATCATTGTGATGCACATTAAATCCCCAAAACTTATTCATCTTATAATCGTATCCTTCAACCAATATTGCTTCCATTTTTCCCATTTCATAGCTAGTTCTACTCTCTGTTTCTATGAGTTTGACTTTTTTTAGATCCCACATAAAAGTGAGAATGTATAGTATTTGTCTTTCTGTCTCTGGCTTATTTCACTTAGTATAATGACCTCTAAGAAATATTTCCTTATTTTTTATGACTGAACACTATTCCATTTTTATATATACCACATTTTCTTTATCTATTCAGCTGTTCAGGACACTTAAGTTGCTTCCATTTTTGTGCTACTTTGAATAATGATACAGTGAACATATGTCTTTGAGCTATTGATTTCATTTCTTTTCGATATATATATACCAAGAAGTGGGATTGTTGGATCATATGGCTGTTCTATTTTTAATTTTTTTGAAGAAACTCCATACTATTTTTCATAATGCCTATACCAAAGCTATCGTAGTAAAGAGGTTAAGACTAAACACAGTGCAGTTAGTGCCTGTGTTCCACACCTATGTCTATCAATCCTTAGGTATGTGTCTTTGGGAAAACTGCTTAACTTATTTAAGGTTGAACCACCCACATAACCTTCTCAAGCAATTTAGTAAAGGGGATAATAATATCTTCTACCTCACAGAATTATTTTAAGTATTACTTTTACATGTAACAAATACATATAAAAACGTGGGTAAACACCATAAAAAGTAAGGAAACAGTATTTGTTATCATCATAATTACAAAATCACACTACTGTGGCTTTCTCTCTGTTTCCTGTATATATTTTTGTCTCTCTTATGAATGATAATTTAGCTGAGAATTGATTCTGAAATCAACAATTCGTTTTCTTCAGAATAGTAAAACTAGTATTTCATTTTCAGCTGGCTTATTTATTTGTTTATTTATTTATTTATTTATTTCCTTTAAGATCTTTATATCTGGACAAGTTGTCTTTCTTTTTTTGGTTTCTGAATTTTCTTGCTTATGTTTCCTTTTTTTCTCTTTATCAATTGAAGTTTTAATGCAGTAGGTGGCTATAATTTTGTATTATAGCCTGGCAACTACTTGCATCAACTTTTGGTATGAATACCTGTAATTATGTTTTTAATTAGAAAACTTTCATTTATGATATTTTTAATATAGCTCCTTCAACTTTTTTCCAGTTTCTTATTTTAAAAATTTATAAGTAATATTTCAGAAAAATCTTAGTCTATTCTCCATTGATGTAAATATCATTCAACAATTTTTTTTTTTTTTTTACTGTGCTATACTATTTGGAAATTCTTTATAGTTTCTTTTTTAGGATTTCCACTTTGTTTATTTGTATTCAACAAATGTAAAGTTTGACTGTAATAATTATTACATGATTCTCCACTTTAGTTGTTTTATCTCAATTATTACAATATCAATTTTTAATATTTTGTTTTTGAAGATGATAGATATTGCTTTGGCCAGGTAGCTCAGTTGGTTAGAGCATCCACTGGATACACCAAGTTTTCAAGTTTGATTCCCAGTCAAGGCCCATACAAGAATCAACCAATGAATGCATAAATAAGTGGTACAACAAATCAATGTTTTTTTCTCTCTCTAAAATCAATAAATAAACAAAAAGAAAGAAACTACGTCAGCTAAGTCTTTTTAAAAAAGGTGATAAACATCAACAGCTGAATAATTCTTCAATCTGCTTAGTTATTTCCACTTTTTCTGGACTGATTTGTTTTCTTTCTGTGAATATTTTGGTTGACTTCCTTTATGTACTGTGTTGTACAGATTTAAAGTGGGATATTTCCCCATCTCCTTTTTCTCTCCATTATTTTATCTCTTTTTTCTTGTTTCTCTCTCATTCACTCACTTTACTTTATCTTCTATAAATCTCACCATCATCGTACCTACAAATCAATTCCTGGCTAGAAATTCTGTGATGGGTCTCTGCCAAAACTTCTGTGATCTTCAGCATAAAAATTAGTCTTCTCGTTGCACTTTCAGGATATCTAAAGTAAAGGCAATGACCCGTAAGTGCTTGAATCATTTGAGTTCAGAGACTGACAGTGTGATCTGTGAACTATGGTCATCCACTTTCATGAAAGTATTGGTACCAAAAAACTATCCCCAGCAGCTATTTTTTTTCTTTCATTCTGATGCATTAACCCTATTCCGAACTTGATTTTGAATAGGATTTGTTTTAACCTCCTGACTCTGGTGGAATATTTTAGTCGTCATTGTCTCAAAGGAGCAGATATCCCATCCTATTCAGTATCTATTTTTTCTGGAGTATTTCGTATGTACTTTGTTTACTTTTTTGAGGAATAATTTACATGTAGTAAAATGCTTAGATCTTTTGTGTACAGTTTAATAAATTTTGACAAATGAAGGTACTTCTGTAGCTAACATTTAAATCTCATTATGCTTATTTCCATTACTCCAGAAAATTCAATCTTACAACTTGCCTTGTCTCCCAAGGTGGGCAAACACAATTCTGATTTCCGTCAGTCAGGTTGTTTCACCTGTCCCTGAGCTTTAGTTACATTGAAGCATAAAGTATATATACTTTTTCTTTTAGTTTATTTCCATCAGAAAATTGTTTTTTATGTTTATTATTTTGTAGCATGTACAGTAGTTCTTTTCTTTTTTATGGTGGACTAATATTCTGCTGTGTGAATATACCCAGTGTGTTTATTCACTATATGGTTGAAGTGCATTTGGATTGTTTCTCTTTTGGCAATATTGTGAATGAAATTGCCATGAACATTTTAATATTGGCTTTTCTGTGCATAATTTCTATTTCTTGTGGCTAAACAACTAAGGAGTGGAATTTTTAGGTCATAGGAGAGGTGTAGCAGAATGTACATTTAACATTATAATATTCTTCACCTTCCACCATCACTTTATGAGATTTTCAGTTGTTCCCTATTTGTATGTCATTTTGTATTGTCACCACTTCCTGTTGTCAATCATTTGTGTGTATGCCAGTCTACTGAGGCATGAAAGGGAATTTTATCAAAGAGTTAAATTGTATTATCTTTATTTCTAGGCATATTTTTGCATTAATTGGATATTACATATCTTTTTTTTATGAGTACCTGTTGAAGTTCTTTTATATTATAGTCTACTCTTTTATATTATTTTATTTTCATCTCTTAATAATTGACATATAGAATATCTTTGCATGGTCTGGTTACATGACCTTTGTTAGGACTATATATTATAAATATTTTCTCCCTGTCTGTGGTTTGCCCTTTCATCTTTTAATGATTTCCATAAAGAATAAAATATTTTAATACTGATAAAATCCAAGGTGTCTTCTTTTATGTGTCCTGTTTAAGAAATATTTTCCCACTGCAAGATCTCAAATATCTTATCTTATTATTTATTTTAGAGATCTTATATTTTGAATTTTAATAATTAGATTAAGAACGTGGATTCATCTCAAGAAATAGAGCTTGGATTTATCTCAAAAAATACTCAGATTTTGTATATAATTTGAAGGCAGAGTAAATGCAGTTGGCTTATAATTTTGATGTGGATTGTGAGAGGAAGAGACAGGTCAAGAATAAGTCCAAGTATTTTTCTTGAGATTCTAGAAATGGAATAGTTATGATCAACAATTGAGATGTGAAATACAGGAGTGTTATGTGTATTTAGGAATCTTGGCAAAAGCTTTCATTTATAAGTTAGGTTAAAAAGTAATCAGAAAAATGTGAAATAGAAAAAATGATTAAATAGTAGATATTCAATTTTACTTTATTTTAATCTTTTATTTTTTCCATGACTTAATGATATTTTATGATATTAAAAATTACATATGTTCAACAATAGACATTTTATACAATTAACAAAACTTCAAAAAAATACATCTCACTGTCTATAGGTAAATAATTTAAGATCTGATACATTTATATGTGAAAATTATATTTTTTTATATTCTGCATATTGTATACAATTTTATAACTTGCATTTTCCACTTAACACTGAATCATGAAAAAGTCCATTGTGAATAGAATATCTTGAAATAATTCATTAAAAATTACACATATTATTACACTGTAACATAGTTGTAAAAATCAAACTGGAATCACAATGGCTGGTTTGGAACGCAGGCTGCATGTCTTATTGCTACGTGATGCTGGGCAAAGTACTTTATGTCTGCAAGTCTCATTTTCCTCAACTACTACAGGATAAAAAATAGCACCTATACTGGAGGATTGCTGTCATAATAAAATCAAATAATATATGTAAAGTATATAAAACTATGCCTGATACACAATAAGAGCTTTAGAAGCATTACCTATTTTATGATTTTGAATCATTTATTTGTTTATTATTATTTTATATTTAAGATCATTCTGATTTCAAATATACTATGTTTTGATTCCCATACCTAAAATTGTGGGCACCTCTGTCTCAGTCTTATAATATACAACATGTATATCCTAGAATAAAACCCAATAACTAATAGTGTTCAAAGTGTATCATTGTTCTTTGAGTATATTAAGGCATCTACTTATAGTTTTAATGCAGAAATAAATTTCCAATTAAATTTAAGAATAATGTGACAGCAATAATTTTCAATCAGGTCCAAAAATAGCAGTGATCTGTGAAACAAAAAAATAATAATATTCTCTTACAATTTAAGTGCATGTTATGTGTCTAGATTATCTCTTTTCCTCATAACAAATATAATTTGCCCCTAGCTTACACATGAGAAAACATCTAATGTTATAACACTAGTAATTGTAAGTTAAATATCAAATCCTTTAACATAGAATATAGGTGATACATGATCTGATGTAAATATTACCCTACTGGTTTGGTCCTTTCTATCTCTGTATTAATTACACTACTCCACTTAAATATGAGTCTGCAAAAATAAGGTTTTATCAAATTTCTCCCATCATCTTCATGTTGCTTTCTCTTCTGGAAATGCCTCTGTGAACCTAATAGGAAAGTAGTCCTGGGAGTCCATACCAATAGTTAATGTATACATGATATCTGAGCATGTATTCACTCCCTGAATAGAAATAGTCTCTTCCTATTCAGCAATTTGGTAGTATTTTGTAGATCTATATGTTTCACTCTCAAAATATTTCATTGCAGAAATTCTGTTTTCTTAAACAAAAGCTGACTTTTGTAAGGCAAATTACTTTTACAGCCAAAGCATACAAACAAACCAGGCAATTAAAAAATTATTTCTTTAAAAGAGGAGAGAGATTTGATATGACCAAATTGTATGCAAAAAAATAGTGCTTCTATAAACCATATAGAAAATATTTTTAATGAGATGGTTATGTATTGAATTTGAAACCTACTAAATTTCTTACAGATATTAGTTCTCAGGTCTCCTGCCTTTACCTATGCTTTCTTGTTTCTAATTCCTCCTGATGTAGCTCTCTGATCAATATATTTTTTAATGCTGTTCCCCCACTCTCACCAGACTCTGGTCCTGTGGTATGCTCACTACTTTGAGGACTTAATTCACTCTCTTCATTAGCTAAAGTAATCCATTAACTCAAGCAATCAACTACTCAATGAAACCAATAAGAAAAGAAGCTGTTTATGCTTTGAGAGTGATGGAAAGGAGTATTAAGCAAGGGGAGGAGGGGAGGAACGGGGCAGGGAGAGAAAGCTATAGTAAGATACACTGAAACAGGATGACAGAAATATTGGACGGAAAGAGAGAAAGAAAAAGAAAGAAGATGAATAACAACAAAAAAAAGAGAAGTAGGAGGTAAAGGAAAGTGGGGTAAAGGAGAAGAGAGGGAGAGAAAGGGAGAAGGAGAAGGTGAGGAACAAGGAATACCTGTTCCCCATAGTGGAAGGGGAAAATGTCTTCTGTAACTTGACCACTTAGATCGCTGAGAATATATTTTATGTTATTCTTCAAGATAATCACATAGAATCATTGTTCATCCACCTTAATGGTATTTAAAATTAAAAGCTCCTACTCCTTGAATGGGTGAAATGCACAAAAAAGACATCGACATCCTTCCCATTAAGTGACCATTTGCCCTTTGCAAAGCCTCTCCTGACCCTGTAGATGCATACATATTAACATTTAATCCTCTGGACAAAACCTGGAGGTAGTCATCCGCTATTTATTGATGGAGGAGTATTCTGAGCACACTTTCACGGATCTGCTTGGTCCTAATTCCATAGATGATTGGGTTGAGCATTGGTGGAATAACTACATAGAGATTGGCCAGAAGGATATGAATGTAGCGGGGAATATTTTGGCCAAAGCGATGTGTCATAAAAGAGAAAAAAGCTGGGGTATAAAAGGCTAAAATTACACAAACATGGGAACCACAGGTGCTGAGAGACTTGACCTTGGCTTCATGGGAGGGGAGATGGAAAATAGCTTGGAGAATGTATATATAAGAGAGGGCAATGGCTATGATGACAAGTCCCAAGATAGCAATGGTCCCCAAGCCATATATGATGTTGACCCTGATGCTTGCACAGGCCAGGCGAGCAAGACCCATGTGCTCACAGTACGTGTGTGGGATGACATGGTGTCCACAGAAAGGCAATTGCAAGATGAGGAACACAAAAGGGAGAACAGTGAAAAAACATCCCCCAACCATCCCAAAACCAATAAGGGATACTACCTTGTTAGTAAGAATTGTGTTATAATGGAGAGGGTTGCAGATAGCTACATAGCGGTCATAAGCCATGGCAAGAAGGACCACTGACTCCATGCCAGTAAAGATGTGAATGAAAAACATCTGAGTGAGGCAGGCATTGAAAATGATCTCCCTGAGGCTGAACCAGAATATGCCCAGCATCTTAGGGATGGTGGCTGTGGAGAGACCCAGGTCAATGGTAGCCAGCATAGCCAAAAAATAGAACATGGGCTGGTGGAGGCTGTGCTCAGTCTGGATGACAAACAAGATGGTGAAGTTTCCTATGAGTGCAACCAGATACACAGCACAAAAAGGAAAGCCAATCCAGATGTGGATGTGTTCCAGTCCTGGGATTCCCAGCAGCAAGAAGGAGGAGGGGTGGAGATTGGTATCATTAGAAAGGGACATCTTTCTTGTGATTTCTTATGAATGTTTTCATTGCAGATGTGTGCTGACCCATTGTGGAAGGTACCAGTCTATTTCCATGATGCTTTATAGTACTGGAAAAAAAGTGGATATCTTAACCATTTATCCCATTATCAATAACCTCATCAATAGTTTTGTTGTCAGAATAAGTAAAATCTCCTTCCTAGTCAAACTTTTATCATTGGAATTCAGTTACAGAAAACAATGAATTTTATTACTCTAAATCTTTGTTTCATAATACACTTTTATTTATTCTACGCAAGATCATCTTTTACTATATACACTTATGTATCTCCTTTTTTTACATATATGCTATATCTACACAAATGCACATATATGTATACACACACATAATAAAAGGGTAATGTGTGAATGAGTGAATAAGATTTTATACACACACACATTCATTACCCTCTTCATCAGCTTGTTTCTGCTCTTTTCCCACATAACATGTAATTAACCAAGACCATGATATTCCTTTGGGCTTACTAACCCTGTCTATGAGTGTTCCCCATATATACTAATGGCAATTGATGCCTGCTGGTAAATTAAAAATCCTAACCAAAAACACAGCACAATAACACACAGGCACAAGTTATTATTTCTCCTTTGTGATTATATTTTTAAATTGTTGCTAGAGATTGTTAAAAATCACATCAGAGGAGAAATGTTTAAATCCATCATTTTTGAATGATGATCCTCAGAGGTTTTAATGTACTGATCTTCAAAGTAGGTTCCATACAAACTCAGATGGTACACAGAATGCTAATAATATATTAATTTCCTTATTTATGCATGTTAGTGACCAGTGACTCAAAAATACTAATCAATTAACCAAAGTATTAAAGAAAAGATGAAGTAGAGAAAACAAAAATACATTGGACTATAAAGAACATTCTAGATCTCATAATGACCCACCCACTTGGAACTAGTAAGTGTCCCAAGTCTTAAGAGATTCTTTATATCACTCCCCCATTATACAAATACAAATACAAATACAAAAAGACTCTAAGGTAGATTCTGATAGACAGAAGAAATATCTTACCTGCTTGTTTTAATCTAATTTTTAAGCAGTAAGATCTTTATAGTGGAAAACCAGGTAGAGCAAATATCCTCCTGTCTAGTATTTGATGATTTATAATTCCATTGTGATTAAGGAAAAGTAGATATGAAAGAATTTGTTAGAATAAATAAATGTTGGCCTGAAATTAAAAGTCAGGAATACCCAGCTATAGAGGGAAAAGACACTCCATGCCAATAGGAAGGTTTGGTTTAGACGCTCAAGTATGAAAGCCTTGGCTATTCTGTGAAATGTTTTCATTGGGAAATAGAAAAAAGGAGGGAGGAAGAAAGAGACCACAAAGTAAGATATTATATAATGTTAGAAGCGACTTTAGTGGAGCCTTTTTGTTTTAACACATTATTGAGTGTGTCCATGGCTTCAAAAAGTGTGCTTCCTGCCAAGAACATGGAGTGGCAGGAGAGGAAGTTAGAAGACTAAAAGCACAATTACTGTAACGCAACAAAAAGTCACAGACATGACAACCAAAAGCTGTTTCTTATCAAATAACTCTCTGGCTTCATCTCAAATATCTTCTTTATAACTAAGTAGATATTTACATAAAAGTTATAAGATGCTGTGAACAGTGAGATATTTCTATTTTCTATATATATGTGAAAGTTGTGGAAAATCGTAAAATTGATACAAGTAGTTGTTACATGAATGATTGTTAAGGGAATCTTTTCCTGGCTTTTAAGGAGAATCTAAATGATTCTAAGCTCTGGGGAATAATAAACAACTGTAAAGGTGGAACTCCCATCTTTCACAGGTATATTCTACAGTGGCTGACAATTATTTTTAAAAAGAGAAAGAAAAGAAATACAAAATGACTCTAAGGTAGATTCTGGTAGATGGAAGAAAGTAAATATCTTACCAGCTGTTTTAATCTAATTTTTAAGCAGTAAGATCTTTAAAGTTAATGAAACTCTCTCTTATTTATATCTTTATACTTAAAATCTAATCCTGAGCCTGGAATATTGGTTGAGGGAATTTTAAAAACATATTTTAAGGAATTTTTTTAATAGTAAACTTAAAGTTGCTTATATAAAGATTATTTTAACAGTAATCCTTATAGTCTATTCTTTAAGGAAGTAATAAACAAAATATAAGATTTCTTTGTTAAAAATAAAATGTCTTAAATAAGATAGGGTGTATTCTAAAAGGGTCTTAAGACTTGGAAGATTGGTGATAGTCGATGAAGAGGGCCCATGGCTTAGTGCTTACCTTGGAAATTTCAGCTGATAAAGAAGGTAATTCTTTACTGTTCCAGAAAATGGCTCATCTTTCCAATATACCAGTATGGATCCTTCCAAGGCACTAGACACTGTAAATCCTGGACCCTAAGAGATAGGTTATATGTGTCAACACTACAATGGTACGTTAGCAAAATCTTGTGACTTCTGGAGAGAGAGCATGTTTGTTTTTCCCCCAGGGTTCACATACACTGTAATCAATTTATACAGTATAGTATTATTTTTCAGTATGAGCTGATTTTTGACCTGCACTGAACAAAGCAATGCTCAGAAATGCATTAGACTATTTCTATTGTTGTTGTTTTTTAACATATTTTACTTGTAAATGCCCTAGCCTTGGGATGTGAGAGGACACATTTACAGTTTATTTTATTTTATTTTACTTTATTTTATTTTATTTTATTTTACTTTATTTTATTTTATTTTATTTTATTTTATTATTTTATTTTATTTTATTATTTATTTTATTTTATTTTTGTACTTCACACTGCTAGGAAACAATGAATAAATCTCCCAACTTGAGACATCTGACCTTATAATGATTGCAAAAATAAATATGCAAGCAAGAGTTATCTGATCTTTTTGCTATTATATGTAAAGATAAAACTTACTTGCCCAGCAGGGTGTGGCTCAGCTGTTGAACATTGACCTAGGATCCAGGAGGTGACTGTTCAGTTCCCAGTCAAGGCACATGTCTGGGTTGAGGGCTCGACTCCCAGTAGGGGGTGTGCAGGAGGCAGCTGATCAATGATTCTCATCATTGATGTTTCTATCTCTCTCCCTCTCCTTTCCTCTCTCTGAAACCAATAAAATATATTAAAAAAACAAAAACAAAAAAAACTTCCTTCATGTCATGAACTCAATCTCAGTTCCTCTGCTCTCCTCATCTTTATGACACTCCTATCTTTTCTCCTTTCTTCTCTGCTACCTGCCATCCTATCCATGGGCTGGAAAAAGAGGTAGTAGACTTACCAAACTGTGTGCCATGGGCAATTCTGAGCCTGTGTACCCAAATGGGACATTGACTTTTTATGCTTTATATGTTGCTCCCCAAAGGAAAGACTGATGAATTCCCTAAAGCCATATTTGTGAAGGACAAGAGAGCCCAGAGGTCATCCACCAGGGTGTCTGCTCTCCTCTAGGGATAAGGAGACCAACTATTCAGAATCAGTGATGTGACCCGAGCCTATGTGAACCAATTACATTGCTAGCCATTACACAAATCAGAAATCGTAACCCCCTCCAAGCAGTATACTAATTCGATTGAGCCCAAACACAGTAGGTTGTAATTGCCTGTATCCCCAAGATGGCTCATTCACTTACTACTTGTGTTATTTTGAGCAAGCCATTTAATCTCATTAAGATTTAATATTCTTATGCAGAAAAGGGGAAATAAAATAGTATATACTTCAAGTTGTTTATGTAAAGCTTTTAAATAAGAGAGAACATATAGTTTGCCTGGTACTACGTAATTCACAAAATAAGTATTTAATAAATGTTCATTATAAACAGAAAATACCACTAGCTTTGTGGATAATGCCCATTTATTTTATTTCAAAATAAGTCCCTAATGTGTTTTCATAGGATTAAAAATAGGCTTGATCTGCCAAATGCAGTTTAAGGTGCCACCAAGTAATTCTCTGTTACCTTCTCCATTTAACATAGCAGAGCTTTCATAATCTTCAGTATCTATCCGATTTATAAATAACCAGACTTCTCTATGTTTGCATCCAATAATTTTCATTATAAAATATTTTAAACAAGGAAATAATATAAATAAAAAGTTGTGCACTCACGGTTTGGTACAAATAATAAAACATGGATTAAAATTGAAGTATGCTGTAGGCTCATTTCTTGCTTCCTCATCAAATATAACTACTATCTTGACTTTGGTATTTATCATTATCTTTTTTTCTTACTTTATTACACATAAAAAGCTCACGAAGAAGTAGAAATCACTGCTTGGCATTAACTAGGCCCATGTTAAAGTATCCTAAATTCTGAACTCCAGTAAAATATTGCCCAATTGGCAAAACAAATGTAACTCACCTTCTTAGTTATCTTACACAAGAGCCAATTGGTGGTTTTAGAGAAAAAGTGACCACAAATGCCATGCCTTCCTTTTAGGTTCTGTTTCCTCTTTTACCTTGGTCTTGTAATACCTTGACAGCCTTGAGAACTCTGTGATTCTTTCAAATGTGATTTTAATTTCTAATATATTACACAGCTGTTTTAGTTGTTCTAAGAGAATGTTGACCAAATTACTTGTTCATCATCAAAAGAACTTGAAATTTCTAAATCCTGTGATATTTTTATTTTTACTTTTTAGATAAACTTAATTTCTTAAATCTTTAGATCTATACAATAACTGGAAGACAGTACAGAATTCCCATATACCCTGCAATTTTCCCCCTCTTAGAAACAACTTACAACTATACAGTGTATTTGTAACAAATGAAAGAGAAAAGAAAGGGGATATAGAACACAAACATGATGGCAGCATGGGAGCCACAAGTGCTGTGTCTTGTGACAAGCATTTTGGGATCTGAAGCAGAATACAGCACTGACGATGTAGCCATGGAAGATCCAACCAGTACCAGGACTAGGACAAGGAAGGAAGGAACAAAGAGACCCTAGATGGTATTGAGTCAAATGTTGGCACAAACCAA